ACAAATAGGCGTACATCAAATTGAAAAGTTTTTGCAAAGCAAAGGAAACCATTAAAATGAAACGACAGCCTACTGAATGAGAGAAGATATTTGCCTATGATACATCTGATAAAGGATTAATATCCAAAATTTATAAACAACTCATAACTCAACACCAGAAAACCAAATAATCCAATTAAAATGGGCAGAGGACCTGAATAGGCATTTCTCCAAAGAGGACATACAGATTGCCAATAGACATATGAAAAGATGCTCAACATCACTAATCATCAGGGAAATGCAAATTAAAACCATAATATGATATCACCTCACACTTGTCATAATGGCGATCATCAATAAATCAAAAAACAACAAATGTTGCTGAGGATGTGAAGAAAAGCGAACCCTTGTGCACTGTTGGTGAGATTACGAATTGGTGCAGCCACTATGAAAAACAGTTTAGAGGTTCCTCAAGAAATTAAAAATGGATATACCTTTTGACCCAGTAATTGCACTTCTGGGTATTTATCCAAAGAAATCCAAAACACTAATTCAAAAAGATATATGCACCTCTATGTTCATTGTAGTGCTATTTACAATAGCCAAGATATGGAAGCAACCTCAGTGCCCCTCAGTAGATGACTGGATAAAGAAGAGGTAGTACATATATACAATAGAATATTACTTGGCCATAAAAATGGAAATCTTACCATTTGCAACAACATGGAAGGACCTAGAGGGTATTACGCTAAGTGAAATAAGTCAGACACATAAAGACAAATACCATGTGATCTCACTTATATGTGGAATCTAACAAACAAAATAAACAAATTAAACAGAAACAGACTTACAGATACAGAAAACAAACTGTTGATTACCAGATGGGAGGGAGGTTGGGGAGCCGGGTGAAAAAGGTGAAGGGATTAAGAAGTTCAAATTGTAGTTACAAAATAGTCACGGGGATATGAAATACAGCACAGGGAATATAGTCAATAATATTGTAATAAGTACGTTTGGTGCCAGGCGTGTACTAGTCCAATCGAGAGGACTACTTCATAAGTTATATAAGTGCCTAATCACTATCCTGTACACCTGGAACTAACAAAATAATATTGAATGTCAACTCTAATTGAAAAATAAAAATTTTTTAAAATAGTGCCTAGAACTCAAAAAAACCACATTAGTTCTCTTCTTTTTACCCTTTTACCAACAGATGCATTTCATGAAACTAAGCTGAAATTACCATTCCATTTCTAGAATCATTTAGGAGAACCACACCCTCTACTCTCCTAAAGACAAAGCAGCACAGCAGGACCAATTGGAAAAGCCCCCCATTTACAATATAGAGGAACCAAGGAAGAAGGACCAAACTTTCCCTTCAGATGCCTCAAACAGAAAGGTTGCAGCAAGTGTGCAAATACCAAACTGATCACCTCTGAAGGAGCAGGTGACACCAATTGCAAATTTCCCTCTACCAATAATGGAAAGAAGCAGAGGAACAAGGCTTACATCTTGTCATCTGCTAGTCCATGGAAGCGCTAGCCAGTCTTAGGAGTGGATGAGCATCTTTCCTTATACAGTTCTTCTTGAGCTTTTCTTCCCTTTTCAGGACTAGATTTAATGTTACCTAAGGGATGTGAGCTTGTGCAGATCTAACAGCAGGCTTACGTTGGGGTGTGCTGATGAACTCATACCGGAAGGTGCTGATGTTCTGTAGTTACCTTGTTCAGGCTGTATTGCAAGGACTTTCATAATAAAGACCACAGATCTGGTGGCTTAAACAACAGAAATTTATTTTCTCAGGATTCTGGAGGCTTGAAATCTGATATTAAGGTGTTGGCAGGGTTTTTTCTCTTTTTAACTTCTAAATGGCCTTCTTCTCCCTCTGTCTTCACAGGGTCTTTCCTCTGAATGTATGTCTGTGTCCTAATCTCTTCTTATAAGGATACCAGTTATACTGGGTTAGGCCTGCCCATATGACCTAATTTTACCTTAATTATCTCTTTAAAGGTTCTATCTCCAAATATGGTCATTTTCTGAGGTATTGGGGGTTAGGACTTCAACATATAAATTTGGAGGGACACAATTCAGCCCATAACCAAGGCCTCGTCACATGAACTGCTTCTGTTAGTCTCTTAACTACTCTCCCATTCTCCAGTTTCACGTTCCTCCAATTCTTCCCCATAGTAGACAATGTACAGTTTCAAAGAAGGAAATTGGATCATGCCACTCTACTGCTTTAAATCATCCAGTGGCTCCCCATTGCTTTTGGGATATAGTTTTAAGTTTCCCAGCACTCAGCACACTACCTGACACACTAGATGTACTTAATAAAGGCAGAAAGCCCTGATAAGTGAATGAGTGAATGAATAAATTAATGAACAAACAAATCATGGAAACTGAAAGAGAATCGCAGTCTTGGAGATCAACAAAGAAGTAGGTAATCCAAAGTCAATTCCATTTGGCTTAAAAATATGTATTTGTGATTTTTTCCATGAGATTCACCTTCTTATTTATGTTTGAGTAAAGGTTTTTAAATAAATTCAGATTCCCTGAGACATAATTGGCAATATTTATGCCTGAATTTTACCAGCTCTTCAGCCACCATGGCACATTCATACCTAACTTACTGTCTGTAAGTGAGAAATGGAGTTAATTAGGTTTTATATTCACACCTACCACCAAGTTCACCTATGGGAGCAGGAACCTAATATCTTCCAATGTCTCATTCATAATGAGGTATAGCAAATCAATAGTGATGGTTCAGCTAATGAGCATTTTTGTCTCTACCTGCTGTACTTTCTCAGTGCCATTTCAGACTTAATCATTGGGCCGTGGCCCTACTCCTGTCCCTACACACCAATATACCAAAGCCTTGAGCACACAAGATTAAGAACAAAGAAAAGTGGATCGAAAGCATTACAAACAGTGGGTTAATGTTGTTTTGACATTAACACGCTATCTTGAGTATTCCACATAGGGGAGAATCTGTATGTGGATAACTGAGAGTTCCTAAACGAAACCTTTGTTCTCTCCCTTTATGAATATTTATCAAGCCAGAAACTCAAATCAAGGGGAGAAAATACAATTTAAAAACCAAGTTTGTTAATAAAGAATGACAGCTAGAGTTCTAACCAATTAAATAATTTTGTGTTGACATAATTATTGCCAGCATAAATGGTCTCATTAAGTTGCCTTTATTTCTTTATAAGAAGTTTCAAAATTCACGAATATTTCATTCATAATATTAACCAAGACCTTCGGAAAAATTTCAGTAAAGTTTGGAAAGATATTGCGATAAAAGATTCTGTTACCTGTGAAAATTTATCTAATTTTCTATTCGGTGGGATATTTCTGTAGCTGCTCCACTTCTGTTTGAATATCTCTTCAATGCTTTAAATTCTACAAGAAACTAATTCGACCCAAACATGATTTATTTTGTAGAATAACTGATTCTTATCAAAAACATTTTTTCTTGTTTTCCTTTGTGTATGGCTAATTCTGTTTTTAAAAGATTATTTATCATTTTCTTTGTGCCAAATGCCATATAATCATTTCTATTCAACCTCATGAAGTAAATTGCTATCATTATCCTTATTGCTAGATAAAGAAATCAAGAAATTCAGAGTTTAAGTAATTTTCAGAAAATCACATAGAACTCCAAATCCCTTGCTTATTTTAAAGAGTTGTTTATTCAGGAAGCAGTGTGCCATAGTTTTAAAATTAACAGATTCCCATGATATTCAATGTAGATGATCTATATTATAGCCTGACATTTTAAGTCAATAATTAAATCAAGAATTTAGCCCCAAATTATACTGATCATGTGCAAACAACAACTCTGTGCTACTTGTTCTATTCCATCATCATCTTAATCATCAAAATACATTTCATTAAGCATCCAGCCTGAATTTTCCATAGCAGAAACTGAAATAAATGAAAACTATAGACTTTTCTTTTGGAAGAGTTTCCAAGCTGAGTGAGCATCAGTATTCCATCACTGACCCCAGCCACTGCTTAAACCTATTTCTCAATTCCCACTCTTCTCCTGTACCAAATAGTGCCAGAAATTAATATGTAGAAGCCTGTCCACATGATTTCAGGTACTCGAGATATTTTCTGATCTTATTTCAAGATTATATAGGAATCTGCTAAATTATTTCATAACAACAAACATTAACATGCAAATGACCTGGCTTAGAGTTAGCTTTTAAGGTATAGCCTTTTACCTAGTGGAGTAAGAAAAGGTCAGTGGCACTCAGTGGCATTTTAATAGCCGAGCAATTTTTTAAAAAGAGGGTAGCAGGGTGGGTTGGAAAGATCAGTAGATGTAGAGTCTAAAGATCTGATACTCCTCCTCCTCTAGCTTCTCTACACCTATTTTTCTTCTGCAAAATGATAACAGTGAACTAAATAGTCTCTAAGAACTCTTTCAAGTCTTCCTATCTATGTTTTACATCTATAGTAAGAACCCACTAGCTATTCAATATAATGTCCATTAAAATGAAAATTGAAAATCACTTCAATGTCCATCAAAATGGAATTGGTTAAACTATGGTGTGTATACATGCACATGTATGTGCACACATACACACACAGACACATATAAATTCTATGTAGCCAGCTAAGTGATGATGAGGTTTTATATTTCCACTGTGCATTTTTTTAAAGTAAGCTTCAAATTAGTTCTATTTGACTAAGAAATAAAGTATTTTATATTAGGAAGTACACTCCTAAAATCTTGTTATTTCTACATGATAGGATTAAGAGTATTTCCTACTTCCTTCTCTATTTTTATATCATGTTTGGGTATTTTATAAGCATAGTATATTTTCATAATAAACAAGAAAGTTATTTTCTATTTGGGGAAAATAAAGTGTAAATAGCAACTATTAGATCCTTTCCTGTGAACAACTTTTGATAGAAGAGAGGGCCAGGGCAAGAACAAAACAGCAGTGAACTAAAGAAAAATTTTATTCGAATATTTTTTATCTGAATATTTTTAGTAATAAACACGTGCCATGAAGGTAAGGAGCTGTTCATGTTACACCACAGCTGATCTGTTTTTCTCAGTCATCTCAGTTATCACCAGTGTTGGGAGATGAATTTGCTTGACAGATGCTCACTCCCTCACCAATCCATCCCATGCACAATGGGAAGATTTGTCAAGCCATCAGACTGGCTATTGGATCCAGTCCAAGGCTGACCATTTTATGACAGGATTAATCGCATAACTTTGTTTCCTTTGTTACCATGCTTTAATTATTTGACTTTCTTCAGGGTTGCCTACTCAGTCTTGATAATTATACTTATCACTCAAAACAAAAAAATGCAGAACTAATTATTAGAAGATGGATTAAATCAAATAGGGATTATACATGACAAGTAAGCAAAGGAGGAAGAATAGCTTCCTAAACATGACAGTTTTAACCCAAGTTGAAAATTGGTAGAAAAACAAAATCTTGTGGAAGATCATAAGTTAAATACCGGTCAACACTGTAGTTGTTGTCATTCAAAAGTGTGGGACATGGCTACAGCCAATAGGAGGATATCATTGTGGGCTGAAAGATCAGTGAGTCCCAGTGAGCTGAGCTTTTGATGCATTCTACTTGAGGGATCCTTCCGTTGCCAACTTAAATTACTGATTCCATATAACAGTGGACTCTTGAACAACATGGGTTTGAATTGCACCTGTCCACTTATATGCAGATTGTTTCAATAAATATACAGTCAGCCTTCCTATCCCCAGGTTTCGCATCTGCAGATTTAATCAATCACAGATGGAAAACAGTATTTTCCATCCAGACACAGAGGGCCGACTATATGCATTGTTCCAGGCTATTTTATGTAAGAACTTGAGCATCCGCAGATTTGGGTATCTGCATTGGGTCCTGGAACTGATCCCCCTGCAGATACTGAGGGACAACTACAGTTAAGTTTTTGGAAGAGTCAAGTTACATGAGGATTTCAACTGCACAGGGGCTTGGCGCCCCTAACCCTCAGGTTGTTCAGCGGTATTTGATTGTCACCAATTATATCATGGCTTCTATGCTAAAATTAAATTCCTCGATTTTATTGGGGGGGTGGGATGGTCAATGGCTATATAGGTTAACAGTCTAGGAGCTAGAGAGGGCACCTGGGAGAGGAGCTATGCCCACAAGGAAGAGAATTTCTAAATTTCAGACCCAGAGCAGCTCAGGAAATCAACTGGTCTTTGCCTGTTAGAAATGCTGTAGGTTTGTAGGAACCATGGTGGAAAACTGTAAGTGGAATCACTTTACGTCAAGGACAGCCTGTATGTAACTAAGGGTAGTTTTTTTAAATGAATGTATTTATTATTTATTTTGTTTATTTATCATATTCTGCTTCCTGAAAGGATTTTTGAGGAGGTTCTTGCGTTTTACATACTAGAACAACTTCATGAATTAGTCTTTTCTTCCCAACTAGATTGTATATAATGCCCGAGACTTAAAAACATGTTTTTAGTTTCTTTTGTACTGCCCAAGGTGTCTGGTGTAATGCTAATCAATGATGGATGGGCATACATAAAAATAATACTGAAGACTAGTGATCAGCATAAGTACATAGTTACTACTGGTTGCTTTATTTAGTAAAGTCATGTTACAGATTCTTGCTTTTCTGGATCCCACAGAAGACATGGTGACCATAGGGTGACCATATGTCCAGGTTACCTAAGATAGTCCTAGTTTATACGTTTTGTCCTAGCAAAATCATTAATAGTGTTCCCTTGTGCTCTCAAAAGTGGACAAATTGTATAATGACTCTACTAACCGCGCATCATTACAGGGCTTCCCAGTAAATTTCAATATACAAGAATTAACTTGGCTTTAGCAGTAAGTAAATGAAAACTAAAGTAAATGGCAAAAGATGACCACATAGTACAAAGTTAAGACTGTATTAAGTTAACTAAATGCTATTTCCTAAAACAGTTTATCTCTATATAAATTTAAGTCAACTATGCCCTCTACTGTCTTATGACAGTATTATGACATCATGAAGGTAGCTCTGGTTTGGCTTCATTGATTGAAGCTGATTGTGTTAGTCCTGTTGATTACTTTAGAAACTGGTCCTCAACCTTGTCTATTGTTATCTTAGCTTTTAAAAATCCCCACTGCTTATGACACGCCCCCAACCAATTAAATCAGAATCTCTGAGGATGAGATCCAAGTGTCATTTTTTTTTTTAAGATCCCCAGCTGCTACCAATATATAGTAAAGGTTGAGAACCATTGCTTAGAATGTCACATCAAATAGTCTGTTGTGGGTCATTGAATTTTTTGATTCCATAGCCCAGATTATACTATACTCCTAACCATGTCTGGAAAAGCCTTGGAAATTGAAAGAAAAAGATGACTGCAAATCCACAACACTACTGAAAAAATGGCATTAAAAAAACCCACAAAAACATTCTAAGTAATGGTGTCTTCTGTAGGCATAATTTTTTTTTTTTACTTATACTGATGATATGGACAGTACCTATGAGGAAATGAATCTGTACAGCTATCAGTTTTGATGCTGCAGCTCAGCTCTAATTCTATGTTGATGGAATTATCTGCTGAAGAGGCTCCAAGCTGAGAAAGTTAGACCAGAACATAGGGGCGAATGAGGTAGAGTACATTGTGTTAAATGACTGCTTCCTTTTCCTTGAATGTTCAGAGACTTGTTAATGGAGTTTATCATATGGAAAAGCACTGATGTAAAAGCCCAGGAAATCTGCTGGAGTAGAAGTTGCACTAATCAGACCATTACCTAAATTAAGTCATTGGGGGAAGTGAATCCCAAAGGAAATAAGAGAGGAAGCAAAGAGATATAGAAAAATCATTAACAATCAGCAAGGAGGAGACAGCGTTTACAAGAAGCAGGTTTTTAATAATAAACCAAAAGTTTACTTCTCACTCTCTTTTTCTAAAGTTCACTAGAAAAAGCTAATAGATTTAATGTCTGAGACTGGCCCTGTTAGAAGAGATTTTGTTCCTCTTAAACTCTTAACCAAAACTGTGGGATCAGCCAGAAGTGTTGGAATGAGAAAGAAGGGGCCAGTTGGGAATTTTGATAGTGAGCATCCGGGTAAAAATCCCCTGTGAGAACAGCAGAGGTCTCCTAATTCTAAAAGGAGGAGCGAGGAAGACGTACATGACAGATGGTGAGGTTCTTACACACCATGTCTGGGACCGCATTCAGATCTTCAATCCAGCCAAAGGCAACACTAGCATTAGTGAGGATAGAGTAGAGGCTTGAAAGCAGCATCAGGAATTATTCTAAGTGATTGTATTTCTGATGATTCTATTGTCTAAGAAACAACTACTGAAACTTTAAAAAATTCCTTTGCGAGAAATGAATGAGGACAAAGTAAAAATGATCCCGTAGATATATTAATTCATGAAAATGGTTCTTACTCTTTTCTAGGTAGCAGATCTCTGGGAGTACCTGATGAAAGCTATGGACCCTCTCTCCAGAGAAGAATGGACATTTTTATATATATCTTTACATACAGTTCCATCTTAGTTTAAGAAACCTTGATTTATTTATAAAATAACCTTCTGCAAGTGGATTTACTAAAGTTATTGTCATAAGACATTTATTAAGAATTTATGTACACAAACCTTTAAATTGAGCATTCCATACACACAAGGTGAAACCATAAAAAGTTCCTGTATTCTAGCTACTTATAATCCAATTTATAATGTCCTTGTAGCCATGCAAAGGTCATACAATTACTATGTTAAAATATAAAAATGTTTGCATAATCATGAGAAAGAATGACATATTGAGAGGTGGTGGGCAATGGCAGTTATTTAAGGGCCTCAACCTCTTTTCAAAATAATCAGGGAATTTTAAGAAAATGTATTGAATACCCCCAATGCAAGGTACAGTACTAGACCCTGGAGGTGATCAAAGATGAGGACCACATGGTCTTTGTCCTCAAGCTGCATTCATTCTCTATGGTAGAGACAGAAGAAGCACATAAATTACTCTAAAAGAGGCAGGATTTGCTAAGTGCCATATAAAGATTACAAACAAAATATTTTGGAGGATGCTCAGACAGCAAGATCACATTTACCAGGACGTGAAAAATGACCTTTACACCTTCTGCCTTATTTCTGTGCGAATCCCATTGTTTTCATAGGGAAATTTCACGAGCACTTCAGATAGAAAAACCAAGTGGCTCCCTCTTTATTATGCCCATAGATCAATTCGAATATAAGGACATTGTGAAAATTAAAGCAGAAAAGGTAAACCAAAGCCATATTATGATTGGCTTTAAAAGTCAGGGTGAGGAGCCTGTACCTAAATCAGTTGACAATGGGAATTTGTTGAAGGCTTTTAAGCAAGGCACAGATAGGAACAGAACTGTGCTTTAGAAAAATTGACCTGCGAGCAGTGTGTAGGATGTGGAGAGAGACAGGAGACAGGCTATTACAGTAGGCAAGGCAAGAAGTAATTGGGCCCTGAACTAAGGTAGGGAAGTGGAAAGCAGATGGGGAAGTGGAAAGCAGGATGGATGTCAGGCTGGGAAATTTGTAGGCCACTGGGGTAGGGGTTGATTGGGGGAATTTAGAGAACCCTCAAAAAAAACAAAAACAAAAAAAAACCTTCAGTATTTTAGAAATGTCCTAAATGCCAGAGGCCATGTCTGCCTCAGCTGTAGATACATATAATTTCTACCTGAACAGAAAGGGGCCCAGCTACATGGAAGGGATTAGGTCCACTTTATTCACCTGTTATGATTAACTGTTGAATCTTTTATAAGTTCTTTTCCTATCTATGTTTTCTTCTCCTTGCTTTAGTAAGTTTCTTGCTTGGAATTCAGAGGAAGAAAGGTACTGCGAGCAATTTGAAAAATCAGAATTCATTCCAAGCAAATAAAATTGCTATCTATAGTCCAACACAGAACATAAATTTCTTATTGTACCTTTTTAAAAATCCTTCCTTAATCCTGGCTATTTCTTGAACTTTCATTATATTTATTTCATCCCTTTACTACCAAAGTTACCACAAGATCAGCA